ACTCTTGTTTGAGGAGGATTTCAACTTGAACATGATATTGGTTAGATTCAAATTAGTTATTTTACTTGTTTTGAGTGTTGAAGGCATGGTAAGGGAAGGGATCCCAAGCTAAAATTTTCTACCCTAACCAATTTATTTTTTAATTATGTTGAAACATGACTTAATTGCTAACTCTTGAATTTGGATTTAACTGCAATATTTATATAAACATTTGATTATTTAATTTTACATTTTTACACATTTTATAAATGTAATACTTATGATATATTACTTCATTCAGATTGATTTTGTAACCTTCATAGATTTTATATATTAATAACATTTTATTTCTTATTGAAAAAAGGGTTGAATTCACTCATCCTTCAATATTTTTTTTTTTTTGCTAGTTTTTTATTGTATACCTTACCAAGTGATCAAAGCACTTTTTATCTAAAATAGTGTTATACAGTTTAAACTATATAATTCAAATCATTATACAAGAGATTAGTCCTTGAATATTAAAAATTACCATTTCATTTAACAATTTTTGTTTAAAGCCTATTTGATTTGTAATTTTCTTGTGAAAGGGAATATAGGGAAGCCGCATAACAAAATAATTTAGTTTGGTTAGATATTGAATTTCTTTACACAAAAATTGAGATATAATATAATTAATTATAATAATTTAATAATTAATTATATAAAATATATAATTGATTACAAAGAGTAAAAAATATTATAGATGTTATAATCACTTATTTTCCCTTTATAACTAATTATTTTACTTTTTCCTCACTTTTTAGACAAAAAGTCTCAAAAAAATATTTTCAAAAAAAATTATATATAATCACCTATACAATATATTGTAATCAATTGTTTTATACTTTAATTTTTATACCAAAAAATTTATTTTCGTAAATCATGTTAAACTTTGCATTTAGTTGGCTACCCCGGATTCTGAAAAAAGAATACGGGGTAACCAAAAAACGACAAAAATTAACATTTAACCCCTCACCTTGCAAAATTGATAGGTTTTAGTTCTTCACCTAGGGCTGGGCACTATACCATAAATGCCACCATTACCAATGGAAACGGTATGAGAAATTACCATATGATAAGTCTAAATGGTAATATGGCAATATCATTTAGACCTGTGGTACGGGATTGGTATTGTAAGTCATTACCATACTTATCATATGGGCCTCCAAAATTATTGAATTTACCACTGGTCCAAATTTTTTTTTCAATTTTAGAATATTTTTAATGATTTTTTTCCTAAAATGGTGGCAATTTTTGTAATTTTGCCAACAATTTAGCAATATAAATTGTAATATCTCATTAACCCTACCCAACTTTCTTCCTCTACTTCTTTCTCTTCCGCCAGAGAGAGAAATTCTCTCTTTTCTCCACTCCTCAAAAACCCCCAGATCTATGGCCTACAACTGCTACGGGGCGGAGACAAGCAAATCTGGAGATGGATTTTCGGCGATGGAGCAAGATGGATGAAGAAACCTACAGCTACTGGAGATGGAGATCGAAACTAGAGGTGATGGTCAATGATGATGATGGTGGTGACGGTGACGATCTGGATGGTGGTGATGGCCGGAATTGGGGGGAAAGGGTTCCAAGGAGAGAAAGATCGGGAACCTTCCTCACTTTTTCCTCTTTTTTTTTTTTTTTTTT